TTATCTCTTAGGGCCTCAAGTTTCCTCATCTGGAAGAGAACATTTTATATATCTATAATAATAGAGCTTCCCAATCTTCTTTTTGAAAAATTGGAGCCTGAATTAGAATGAAGAAATTTATATCTAATGTTTTCATTACAGATTGCTGATAAAAGAATTGCTTGTTCAAGTTACACATTCTCTGGCTCCATCCTCAGAGTGTGTGATTTAGTGGTTCTAAGATGAAGCACAAGAATCTGCATTTTCATGATAAATGTGAGGGCTAGTACAAAAGGATTTAGGAAATTCAGATGCACCCAACCAAGAATACTAACATTATGAATGTATACTATTCCAGATTACTGACAACCCCAAATTTATAACCGATAAACTAAGATATTCCAGAGAGGTGTTGTTAGAGGGCTAGCTGTGAAAGACACTCCTTTCATTGATCCTGAAACATATTCAGCAAGTCTGTACCTACTGATATTTATTTCATATAAAAAACATAAAAATCAAGTCATCTTTACGATTGCGACTACAAACCCTGGCTGTGAACATAAGAACCACCAGCAGAGTTTTAGTTTTAAAACAAATAATATGCTCACATGGTACAAAACTCAAAGGGTTTAAGAGTATTCAGTGAAGTCTCCTCACCATTGTCCCCTAGAATCTGGTTCCCTGACCTAGAAGCAACAACCTTTGTCAGTTTCTTTTAAAACTAAGTATCCTTCGAGAGATAGTCTATGCATTTGTAAGCAAACATATATATGTTTTTTTTTCTTATTTATATGAACGGTGGCACAGTATACACATTCTTCTACAATTTTCCCCCCACTTAATATGTCTTCAAAATTGCTTGACATGCCTTTTGTTTTTTAATAGCAATATGGATGTATGATATTCACTTAACCAATTGTGGAACTTTAAAATAATACACAGCCTGCTACATCCTAGGCAGATGACACTAAGTTACAGCCAGAGTTGAGAACCCCAGTTCCATGTTGACGAAGTCTTACCTGTATCAGTAAATGACTGTATATCATATGTCAAGTCTATGTTGACACTTTCTGCATTTTCTACTCTCCGAAAAATTATTCCGAGGAACCACATTGATACGTAATTGTTGCTATAAAGTAAAATTTAAGAATTTCCATTAACTTTTAAATAATTTTATAAATGCTATTTCATAACTAGAACTTGGTCTCTATGTTTCTATCTCATAAATATAGATTACAGTGGTTTGGCCAAATTCTTAAAACTGATATCCAGAACACTGGTAAGTTATCTGTGTCCTTCTAAAGAGGATTAAGTGGCTTTGAAAATGACTTGAATCTATACTTAAGGATGTTCAAATTATAGTGA